CATACATACAGTATGCTTCTAGGTACGTGAATATGTACCGTAAAATATAACGTACGTACACGAATATTGTATTAATCGTGTAAAAAAATTATGTGTATGTGTTTAATTTCATATAAACAATTTATAAATGAAAAATTTTTAGGTCTTTGGGGTTGTTAAAATTTTCTATATTATACCAGAGGTAAAAAAATGTTATTTGAAAATTATTTCAATTCATACATGTAATTCGATTGAGTTTAAAATTATGTACGAAAGCGTGTATAATATACATACATACAGGTGTTCGTGTGACTATATATAAATGTGTGTTAGAGGCCATTGTACAATTTGTGAAATATTTACAAAAAATCTTTTTTTATAAATATTCGTATTTCCATAAAATTTATTATTTAAAATTAAAAACAACTTATCTTTATTGCAAAGCAAATGGAGTGCATTGCTTTGTTAAATAAATCAAAGCTCACATGGAGGCTATAATTACGCATAATTGTATAAAATTGTATCATATATTAACTAGTAGTTATTATCACTGCCACAACTATCACAATTTTGTTTAATTGTGATTGCAATCTCTTTATAGCTATTCTGACTGTTATAATAAATAATTTCGAATTCAGTCTAATGAGCTCCCCCCCCCCTTTTATATGAAACTTAATTTTTTGAAAAATCGCTTGAAGTTCCTAAATTTGGTTTGGTTATCAACCCAGTCAAATTTTCAATTTTTGTTACGGCCTTAAAATTTTATGCACAATCTTACCGAACCAAATCTTTTCTCTTCAATATTATTTTACTCAATTTAACATTTTTGTTCCTTTAATATATTCCTTAACGTTCTACACCATTATCCATGTAATGGTTTGGTATCAAAATAATAGTATATAGAATTGAGCACCGGATTCTCTTTAATTTTTTCATTATAATTTTATTTACATATTCGTGTAAATATTATATAATAATAAAAACAAAAACCAGAAAAATAAAAAAACCAAAACAAATAAAATTCTTTAAATAATACACATGCTCTTGTAATGTTACATGAAGCAAACATATTATTATAAGAAGCGGAAGACATCAAATTAATTTTCCCCTAATAATTTTACAACAATAATAATAAGAAAACAAAAAACGAGAGTAAAAGCAAAATAAAAGTTATTTGTTTGTCATTTTACAACAAAGCGGAAATTTTAAACTAGTAGAATGAGAAAAAAATGAATGAATGAGTGATTGTGTAAGTGAGTGAGTGAAAGTATACATATGTACATATAATATTCTTTATATTCACTGTTAATATAATAAAATTATAATAATAATTTGTGTACCAATATAGAAGAAAAGAGAACAGAAATTTGTTATGTATTTTTCAAGTACGTGTAATATTTAATACCTTACACAATTATACTGTCATAGAGCACCTCTTCAAACCCACAATAATTCAAAATTATATTATTCAACATTAAAAATAAAAAATGTTAGTATGAGTTTTCCATCAGGATTCATGTAAATATTTGAGCGCGGTGAATCTCTTTTATATCCATGCATATATGTATATGTATATATATATGCAAACATTATATAATTATGTTAAGTTAAACAACTATACAATTTGTTTTCACTTTTTGACAAATAATATTGCTTATTATTTGTGTACATAAGTATATTATCGAAAAATATAGAATTGACAATACAACAAAAATAAAAATATATGAATGAATGATAACCATTAAATTTGTGTATTAAATACATATATATTTAATGTGTCATACATACCTACTCTTCACTTTATATTTATTATGTTTGTTTAAGAAAATTAAATGGAAAGTTGATTCCCTATAACCCTCGGAAAATTTAATAAATAACAACAATATTTTCTTATACAGTAGTACAGGAACATGAATTAATTTTAATGAAATTTTTGCTCCATAATTTTAATTTTTGCATATTTAATATTGTAATTTAGTCCCTTGATTGTGATATGATAATTTAACATGACAATAATGACAAACTTAAAAAAAAATAAATAAAAACAAAAAAAAAATTTTTATTTTAGCTTAATTTTTTAAGGTTCAGTTATCCTTGGAGAGCATATATACAAAATTTATTTTAATTGAAACCAAATATGGAAGGAAAGAAAAAAACAAGTTCCTCGTTTTTGTTTAAAATTCTTGAAATGCAATATTCAAACAAAAAGTTTTAATGACACAATTTAAATGATGTTGTTGTTGTTGTTGTTAATAAATTTTTGATTTTTTGAAAAATAAACAAGAATTTTCGGGGATTTTAATAAGGTCAAAACTTAATTTGAAAAATTTTTTATTAATTATAAGTTCATGGGTTACAACATATGGTGTAATGTTCTAAAAACTTTAAATCCTGAAAAAAAATATAGGAAATTTTTTGCGTAGAAATTTTCCATTAAAAATAGTTTTGCTCCAAAATAATAATTTGTAGCAATTAAAAGGAATAACTTTTGTTACTTTAAAATTTGGATTCCTTCGCTTGAATTATTTATTAAAAAAAAAAGGAATTTTCAATTTTATTTTTCCTTTTTTTTTAAATATTGAAATAAAAATAAAAGAAAAACTTTAATTACAATACCTAACAAAATATTTTGAATTTGGGGAAGGCTGAAATTTGGTAAAATATGCTTTCATTTGAAATATGAACTATTAAAGAAATAATTGGAAATTGAAAGGATATAAATAACATTATTCTCAGTGTAAAGAATCTGTGAAAAATAGCATCCTAGCTCTAGGATCATCTTCTATATTGTCCTCCCTTTACTATCGTGTGTAAAGTATTTTCTTAACGCATTTTCACCTAATGGAAATTTTTTTCGTACAACTGCAGTACCAGGTGGACTATATATTAATATAACCAAATAAACGAGTCAAGGCAGAAAATTTAAAAAAAATTTTCGAACTGGGCTCGAACTACCGCTTGATGTGCGGATGCTCTAACAACTGAGCTATACAAAGGTATTGAGAACAATTTTCCAGTAATTTTTCCATATCTCTAAAGCTCAGTTGGTATAGAGTGTCTAGATAGCTATAAGTGATTGATTCAAGTCCAATTCGAGGAGAAAAATTTTTAAAATTTTTCTGCCTTGACTCTTTCTTTTGATGACGAGATTTTCTTTAGTTATTCTCATAAGTTTTAATAATAAAGATAAACAACTCTACGTTGGTGGTGGTAATTAGTAATAACATTTTTACCTAATTTCGACATAAATCTCTATTAAAAATGAAGGAAAATGGAACCTGTATGTTTTTCAATTATTATCAGGGATAAAATCAGAGATTTTTATTATAAACTAAATGTGAACTAAAAATTTGTTTAAATTCTATATGGTTTTTAATTTTATAAGATTTCAATTTAGGCAGAAGTTGCTTGTAGCCACGGAATACTATTGACGTTCCTATATTTTTTTAATAAATAAATATTTGTGATTGTTTATAAACAAAATTGAGTTCTGAGATTAATGTAAGCAATTTTAACAGTAATCCTAAATTTTTTTCAACATTTGTATTATGTAAAATTTCTCAAATGCAAATATCTTATTTAAAACAATGAAAACCCCCGCAATTTATTGAATCTTCGCGCATTCAAATCTGTATATCATACATATTTCTAAATCATCCAACTCATTGTATACATTTTTCAATTCAAGTTGACATTTTTTTTATGAGTAGTTGAAATTTATAAAAAAAAAGAAAATTGTAAAAAATTCTCATAAATTTACAATTTAATATAGAAAGAAAATAACACTACTTACGTCATGCAATATTAACCAAAAAAAAAAAAAAAAAGATAGAAAAAAAAATTATGAAAGTCTTCTACGTTTCCTGAACACAATGAAAATTTACACTTCCTTGTTGGGCACATGAAATATTAACGTTCTTTTTAACTAATTTTCATCCTATAGTTTCTTTACCCCAGTCTCGTCCATACTTAGTCATATTTTTACAATGTTTGCTATACTGCTGAGTATTTTTAAAACAATGTTATAGTCTGAGACATTTTGAATTTTTTGTACATTTTTTGCAATGTTTTAACTCTTAACTAAATGCATTTCTGTTGTGTACTTAAAATATCCTTTTTATTTATCCTTTATTCATTTATTATTTTATAAGAGTATATATTAAAATACTGGGCTTTTGGTATTTTCATTTGAATTCTTATTATTTGTATGTTGTGTGTATTTTTTGTATTTTGTAGTATTTTATGGTGTTTCCGTAGAACTAAATAGAGAAAAAAAATTTTTATTAATGCTGTTTTGTTGTTGATGTTGATTTTTTATTTATTTTTTTTAGGATACAAAGTATAAAAGCTAGATAGCTTTTCTACATACATTTTATGCTTCTAAAATATTTTAATTTGTTTTTTATTCAAGCTATTTTTATTGTATTATTTTTGCTTTTTATTATATTTTATTTTTATTTTTTGCGCTTTGTAAATAACACAAAAAAAAATAACGAGAACACGCCAAATTTTGTAGTATATTAGTAACACTGTATACGTTTTAATTTTACTCACTGTTAATTAGAAAAAAAATAACGTAGTTTTGTTCACTTAACGTGCTAAAAACACACACTTTATAAATAACACAAGTAACAAACCAGCAACCGAAGATAAAAAGTAAAAAAAAAAAATAAAAAAAAATAATAAAAACAAAATGGTTGCAAACAGAATGGTTAGTTTCAAGTAAGTAGTATTAATTTTAATGTATTTTCCCCCTTCATTTAATTTACGCTATAATTTTTAATATGTTTTAGCTACTATACTGCTACTATAAATTTAGCACTCTTAATATAATGTATGTGTACCTAATTGTTTTTTCATGCTATTCAACTTTTCACAATTAATTCCACTCTCTTTTCTAGTTTTGCTTTTATCTAGATTCTTAAGGATAAATTATTCTTTTTCTCTATAAAATTAAATTACGATTAAATATGAGTAATGGGAATATGAAAATAATTAATTTCGTTAATTTAATATTTTAGTTATATGGACAAAATGGTAAAGATGATGATTATGATGATACACCGGTAACATTACTTAGAGGGCCACCAGGACCACCAGGAGCAGCAGGACGTGATGGTATTGATGGTAGAGATGGTGCTAAAGGTGAACGTGGTGAACCAGGACAACCTGGTTCATTAGGACCTCGTGGATTAGATGGATTACCTGGTGAACCAGGTATTGAAGGACCTCCCGGTTTACCAGGATATCAAGGACCACCAGGTGAAAAAGGTGATCGAGGAGATATTGGTCCACCAGGATTAATGGGTCCACCTGGATTACCGGGACCACCAGGTTATCCAGGTCCAAAAGGTGATAAAGGAGATCGTGGCGATTCAGTAAGTTGAAAATTTATTTTAAAATATTAATCTTAATACTCTTATACTAGATATGAAATGTTCACACATAAAATTTTTCAAATAATAAACATTCATACGTAATTATATAGAAATATTGGTGTAAATTGAATTGAAGAAAAAATTTAATAATTTCAAATAACTATACAAATTTCGGGTACTCGCATCTTGTTCAAAATATTATTTGATAAATGAAATTATATGTTCGAACATTTTTATTTTATAAAATTTCATAGTAAATTTTGATTTACTAATTGAATTTTTACTAGAAGTATAGGAAAATGAGAAGGCGGCAAGATATACAAGATGGAATGAATGATGCACCATATGCACCGACAATAGAATATGTAAGTATTCCAATTTGTTACTTTAAATTAATTAAAAAATTTATAATATTACTGAGGCAATAATCATCAATAAATAATAAGGGAGATTATACATTTTAATAAAACTGATTTGGTTCTTAAAATTTATTGCATAACTAGAGGTGAAACCTTTCATAAGCTTTCAGATCTAATAATTTGCTTCTATGGTGCACAAGATAGTACGCAGTGTGAAACGCTTTTTTAGTGTAGGTGTTGCAAACATTTTTTTTTAACTCAAATAAAAGTAAATTTCGAAATGTGTATTATATTTGATCAAAAAATTCTAATTATTTTAGAATTAACAACTTAAAAATCCTTTTTCCAATATTATACATTTGTCAACATATTTTCTTTATTAATGTAGGAAGAACATAAAAAAAAATAATTTCGTAAAACCTTTTACTAAGATACGAAGATCTTCGCAGAAGATAACACTAAAAACAGGAAAGAGCTACAAAAGAATCTTCACAAAATAAGGTCTTAACTACCATAATTTTTATATCAACTTTTATATTTCAAATGCAAAAACTATTCCGTTTTAAGTTTGAATCACAAAAGTGATTTTTCGCGGCTCATGAAATGTCAGAATTCATATAAAGTACACATAAATTTAAATGGGACTGCCTTGAATTAAGCGAAGTTACTTCCACGAATTAAAAATAACCTAGGGAAAATAACCTAAATTTCTATTTTACCCCTGACGGTTTTCTTTTGTATTATCTATTTTCAGGTATGTGTGAAGTTCGCATTACACATTGAATACACATTATGTGCAAAATAGTGTTCAATTGATTTTGCCGTTCCGCTCTTATTTTGGGTTATATACTACTTCTACTACTATTTCACTTGTAAAATTTAAGTGTTTACCTGTTTTAGTAAATATCTTAGGGAACAGTTTTTATCCAGTTATCGAGTACGAATATCAGTTCATGGAAGTCACAGATAAAAACTTCATACGCAAAAGCATCTTCAAAACTTTAAAGCTAATTTACTCAAAACTTCATAATTTATATATAGATGACTTCCTCATTTACTCCTCCTGAAGAAATTAAAAAAAAAAAATGAAATTAATAAATAAATTTTTTCCCAAATTTGTATTTTTAGAAATATACTAAAAAAAAAGCAATTAGCTAAACAAGTTAAACAATCAAGTTGATTCTAAACAAAATTTAGAAAAACAAAAAAAAATTATTTATGTTTTATGCTCACATGAGTGAAATTGAGATTTACTTGGAACCCAAAAAAAAAAAATTCATTTTGTAATAAATACCTAGTACAAGTACACAAAATATTCTCACACTCCTTATATAGAGGAAGGGAAGGTTAACAAGAAATTATTATACTTACCTTTTTTTTTTCTTAACTATAATAATAACTAGGGGCCCCTGTGGTTTGCTTATAAGCAGCATTATCTGTTGTAAAAACAGGATTGTGGCAATCAATTTTAAAATAAGTTTAGAAAAATTTGTACATATTATGGCATACATATGCAGGTATATACTTGTATATGCATAAATATCATATTGGTTTGAATACTAATGATAAATAAAAGTAATGGAAATATTTTTAATTTAATAAATTTTAAGATGTAATATGTGTCACTGTTAATTACATAGATATGATTAAGATTCAATTTAAAAATTAGTTAACAATTAAGAACGAAAAATTTCCTTATAAACAACGTTATCTGTTAAAATATTTCCATCATCGATTTTCCCCTGACGAACCGTATCTTTGACTTGAATTTTTAAAGAATTGGAGTCTATGGCTCTTGAACATACTGTGTATAATTGCCCATGCGAAAAGCACGGCTGGGGGAAATAGAGGCCAACCTTTTCAAAAGTTTGCCCTTGGGACTTATTTATAGTCATGGCATATGCAAGACGGATGGGGAACTGATGTCGAACAAAATTAAAAGGAAAGGAAATAGTACCTTTCACGCTAAACTTTAAAACCAAAGTGAATTAATAAAAAATCAATGCCTCTTTTCTTTATACAGACCTGACTTGGCTACTTACTCAATTGAAATTTCGCAAGGACACGAAGAATAATTGCCTTAGTTATTCGTGTTTTTATATCTCTCACAATTTTTAGTTTTATTTTTTTTAATTCCATTCCATGTTAAATACAACAACAAAAAATTATTTTACTCTTACTTAACTCATTTAAAATATTTCGCTTCCTTTTGCTTTTTATTTTTGTTTATGGTAGTAAAGCAAAAAAACAAAAAAAATATTACTACTCTTTTTTTATTCTCTTTCGCTTTTCGCTTTTCATTTTTTGTTTTTGTTTTACAGTATGTATAATCAATTGAGTAATGTTTCTACCCAGTATTCTCTTTTGCTATTTTCATTTTTTTGTTTTTGTTATTTATTAGATTATATGTATACCTGTTCATGAACTGGAAAAATCTTGTAAAATATAATATAGATTCCTTGTATTTTAAATAGAGTAGAGAAAAAAAATTCATTATGGCACAAAGAAAAAAATCATTTAAGCAAAAGCAAAAAAAAAAAATATTTAATTACAATTACAATTAAGAGAGAGCAAGAAAAAAATTCTTATGCGGAATCTCGTTCTTTATAATTTGTTCTTAATATCTTTTTTTTTCTCTCTCCATTTTTTTTGTTTTTTTAACAAATTACACCACATACCAGTACAAAAATGCTACTTTTTTATGAAAATGTTTTCACGTAGGTATAAGATTTATTTTTCCCTCTCAATGTTTTGTTCTTCTCCTTATTTGTATAATATTGTTGCGTTTAAGATCGCACAAAATATTTGTATACACAAGAGAGGAACAATTAAAAGAAATTAACTGCCGTAAATAAAGAGTTAATGATTTTCATTAGTTTTATTATATACACATGCATACATACTTATGTATATTAAACATTTTATTTATTTATATATAACAAATATATTTAATATTATGTATGCTTTGTGTACAGCATAATGAATTAGTATAGTGAAAAAAAATGTTCATGATTGTACCTACTGATCTTTTTTTTATCTTGTTATACACACTGTTTTTGTACAAATAAACTGTAATGTTTTTGCAGTATCCCAAATAAGAATGCGATAGTAATAGAATAAGTAGTGTGTTGGTAGGTAGGTGCTCATATGTAACAGAGCTACTCTGTATTGTAGCACAATAACCAAACTTAATTGAAATCATTTTTTTTGTTGTTGTTGTTTCATTTTTTGACTGCATTGTTTTTTGATCTTTTTTTTTTTGTAAATTATTTTTTTTGCTTGTGATACCGTTTCATTTGAAAAAACATTCTTTGTCATACAAATAATACAAATTTTTTTCTCCAGTTTAATTTCGAGTAAAGAGAAGAAAAATTTTATGGTATGTACTGAAAAATTCAAGAATTTTCCTGCAGTCAAATTGAATAAAAAAGCAAAAAAAAAAAAAAAATCATTATTTTTACAAATGGTTTTAACGGTATAGCAACCTTTACTTGGGTTTTTTTTTTTTGGTTGCAATAGCGCAAATATACATAGTTGCTCGGTACGGTTTTTGAGTACCAAAATATTATTGTAACTTCACATATATTATAAATAATATCAACAAATATAAATATGCCCTATTTACTCCACAGTATTAATGTAAGTATGTATATCTGTTTGTATGAAAATATTTATGTATATAAAGCCAAGCCCGTATCCGTTTTTAAAAATCCTCAACTTTTGTTGTACTTTTTTCCTCTCCGTATTTTCTTAATTGTCAGCAATTGTTTTAATTTTTATACAACTTTGTAACAATTTACACATTTTTACAAAAGGAAATTTTTTTTTTTTTTGATTTTTTACTAACAAACATTTATGTACATACATATGTGGGTATATTAAGTGAACAATTCAATTTTTATGCTCACTTTTGTAAAAAAAAAAAACTCATCGTTTTGTGTTGCATTACACAAGTGTGTATTATAATAGAATATATGAGATGTATGTTAAAAATAAGAATATAAATGAAATACGTAACTTTTAGAAAATATAGGAAAATCTGTGAAAAACAGAATTTAATACAAATATTGTAGGTACCCAATATTCCATTAGAAATTTCAGAGGATTCCTTAGGAGGCATTAAAATAATTCGAAATCAAAATTATAATAAATTTATTATAATACATCAATCAATAATAAAAAATCTATTTATTGACGCTCTAGATACAGATTTCTACAGGATTCTCATGAATCATTATGCAATTGCTGACCTGTTAAAATTTATTGGGAGTCTTAATCTTGATTTCTATTGATCTGGCGCGGAGATGCACAAAAGACCTGTATGGACGAGGTGCTGATTAAATTCACCCCATACGTAACATAACATAACAGTTATTAAGGCAGAACCATTGATATAATACAGAAATTTGTAGTATAGCACTGCTTTCGCCAATTAACTAAATGAATAATGTGATCAACATAACAATTATATTCAGGTACTATACAAAACATTTTCCTGAATTGACTGCATGCGCTTCACATGCTATTGTCAATGGTATTTTATTACGAATCCGTGACATGCCGAAATAAACTCACATATAAAATTTTATTAAAATCGGTTCAGTCGAAATTGAGATACACGCGTGCATACACAGACAGACAGATAGAAAACTAAATATATATAACTTTTGGCTATCACAAAACCCCCCTTATTCTATGCAATGCGGTCGGAATAAAAGAACCATTATTGCTCTAAGAAACGTCAAAAATTATTTTTTAAACTTTTACTTCAAAATATTTTTTTAAATTGCTTATATTTTGTTATAATTGGTTAGAACCAATTGAAAATTTACGTTCTAGAATTTTTCTAAATAATATATCAAGAAAACTAAACATTTCGGAGATTTGGCTTTTATTCAATTAAAACGAGATATATCTTTTCTACAGTAATGAGTGATAAAAATAAAATGACCAAACAAAGATTGCGAGCCACAGAAATGCAAACTCTTAGGCAGATCTGTGGATACACTTTGCTTGACAAAAAAAGAAGTGCAGATATAAGAGAAGAATGCAAAATTCAAGATATTGTTCGATGGACTAGATGCAGACGGCGCTACTGGAGGGACCATGTGAACCGCATGAGCGAGAACCGACTACCCAAAATAGCCATGACCAGCAAGCCCAACACCAAAAGACCCCCAGGCAGACCTCCTAAAAGGTGGCATGAGTGCTGGACCTCTACATCCCACGATCATGAAAATCCATAAAAGAGAATATTGGATAAAACAGGCAAATGTGCCTACAACAAGAAGAAGAAGAAGAAGAAGAAAAATAAAATGCACAATATTTTAGAATTTTCGATACAGAATTATGAATTTCATATAAATGTATGTATATGCAATTATTTAACATTTTTACCCCCACAATTTTCTAACATTTTTTCGAATCTATATTATACAATTTTTGAATTGCAACTTTTTGAGATTTGATTTGTGTATATGAGCACACATACGTCAAATTTAATTGAAGTTATTAAATTTTACCAATTTATTTTATTCTTTTTCTCATTTCGTTATTTCGTATATATAGTTTTTAAAACTATATGACATAACCATATTGTACATTTTAAGTTAATTAACAAAGTAAAATCAATTTGCTACTATTTTGTTTTTCTTTTAATTCGTTATAATTGAATTTTTCACAAGAGTTCGTAAAAGTGAACGAGCAACTTGAAAGAAAAAACAATTTGATGTTTTGAGAACATAACTGACCGCAATGGGTATTGACTGGTTTAAGGAAAGTGTGATTAGTGAACATCTAGATTACTGTTTTCAACTTAAAAAGTGCATAATATATGAGCATATATTACTTTACTATTTAATAATAATGATAATATAAAACTATATTCAATGTAAAGTAGAAGCTCCTAGTGTGGATCGAACTAAGTTCAAGTTAATTCGAAAATATTGAAAGAAAATTAAGATACGAATCTACGCAATTACCCTACATAAATAGTTAATTTAAAATTGAGTCTAATTGCGGTGCCTCACAAAATATAAAAATTTATATCCATATACCGTCCCAGCAATAATCTTTGAAAATATAAAAATCCTGCAGCTCTGTGTACGCCTTATCGTTTTGCTTTAGCACCTGTACTTATTATGAATAGTACTTATGTTTACTATGACGCTCCGTAAGAATACATTCAAATTGAAATCAAACTACTACACTTGTCATAAATGTCCATTTTATCCCACTCTACTATAAACGTTACTAATATGGTTTTATATCATACTTTGGAAGAGTAATGTTCACCCAAAAGTAAAAGTAAAATACATGTAGATAAACTGATAGTATCCTAGGTTATGTAAAAGTTCTATGCTTTTACTGATGAAAAAACTAAGTTTGCGTCTAAGTTAAACTAAGTTTAACAAATCTGCGTTGTAGGCTTAATCAATTTGTGAGCAAAACCTGCATATAAACTTTATACGATACGATTATACGAATACGATATTAATAACATTATTATGATTGTGAGAATTAAGAATCCTTTTTTTTTTCTTTTCTCTTTCCGTACGTTATTCCTTCTTATCGTAAATTTGGCTAAATTTTGTGTATCATGCATATAAAATATTTTAAATATTGTTTGTATGAAGAGGAATAATAGGCTTAACAATAAATTTTCCTTAATAATACTGTCGAGATAATAACATGTTTCGACAAGAAATACTTGACAGTAATAAATGTCTCGCTAGTAAATGTCGCTATAGTAAATGTCGTAACAGTAATTGTCCTGACAGATCTATTGACCAAAACCTATAAATATTAAATATTTCTCTCCTCAAATCGGTTTACACTTGAATTCAAACAGTTTTACACTTGAATTATAAAATAAAGAATTGCGATAACTGCAATCAATTTAAAAAAGAATTAAAATTTATTTAAAATTTATTTACCAGTCTAAAAAATTACAAGGATATTGAAAGTTTAATAATTACTAAATTTCAATAGTTTTTTTTTTTAAATTTTTATTAATTTATTTAATTTTAAAGTGTAATCTTTGAAAACTTTTTATATCGTAAATCGATTTTTTATTTGAATATTATTAAATTTTTTATTTTTATATTTTATTAATATTTTTTTTTGTTGCTTATATTTAATTTTTTTTTCAATATTCACCATTAAATTAAATAGTAAAGTATTTAACTATGCTTTTGCATTTGGGTTTTTATCGTAGTTTTTTATAAAAATATTTGTTTTTATTTTTGTTTTTTATGTAAATGGTATTTTATTTCAAAAAAGAAAGTATTAAAAAATCCCTATTTATTTACACAATAAATATTTACATAATCCTATCTAATCCCTTTTAAAAATTTATGTTAAGGATTTTTATTTCTCTATTTATATACTTACGGTATATATATATATATAGATATAGAATATTCATATTATTCATGTTCTTTACAGTATTCATATATATAGGAATATTATGTTTATATAACAGTAATATTAATTTGTATATAAGTAAATAATGTTTGTTTACATTTTTATAGTTTCAGTTTATTTTAAAATGCGAGCGTATCTCATAAAATCGATTTTCAAAAATTTCATATTTTATTACAAAAACTGAATGAAATTTTGTTACTCTTATTACGTATTTTTAAATAAACAAACAAACAAACAAACAAACAAACAAAATTGATAGTGAAAAATAATTTTTTTTTTCTTCTTTGTAATTACATGTAAATTAACCACAACGGTTGGTAAATAAAATAAAAATTCTTAAAAAATACAGAAAAAAAAAACAAAAATCAAAATGGTGAAACAAAAACAGTTAAGAGTAATAAAAATTAATGTTGTTGAAAGTAAGCAACAAAAAAAAAATAATAAAAATAATAAAAATAGGAAAACGGATCAGATTTCATTTAATAATTATTCAACAAAACCGCCATTTTGTTGACACAATTCATGCAAAACACGTACATATTTTGTTTTTTTTTTATTGAATTCAGTGAAATTCAATGAACGGATAAGTAACGAAAAAAATTATGATACAGTATATGTGTATGTAATATAGAAAGGGATATTTAATCCAAATATTCTAAATATTCATAAGCGAGGTTAATAAAGGACACCAGTATTAAAGGATATTAGAGTAAAATTTATTGTAACTAAGTAGTTTTTTTTTTGGTTTTTATTTTTTTTTTTGCGTGTTTTGTTTTCTATGTATACAGAATATTTAATTCGATTAATTAAAATTATACATTTTTTAACAAACAATTTAACATTGATAGCTTGGCTATGAATAAATTATTAGCGATTTAAGTTACTAAGTTTAGCATATTTCTAAAACAAAAACAAAAAAAAAATTTTTGGAATTTAATGTGGAACATTCAATTTAAAAAAAAAAAAATTGAAGTATAATATAAAAACTCGCTATTCAGAATCGGATACAGCAACATAATCGGGTACAATAAAAGTTAATTCAAGGCTGGTTTGTACTATATCAATTAAATTACTCTCTTGAAAAATTTTCCATATATATTAATATATTTTTAAGAGGTGGTTGGGGTTAACAGTTCAATAATTTGCTACATCCACGGAAGATGTAAAAGGGGCGAAGAGTCACAAAAGCGTCAAAATTTTGTGTTATGACTGAGAATTTTAAAGAAATTTTTTTATTTCAAAATGACGAATATACGAGTAATTTTTTAATAATTAAATGTATTTTGCAAGAAAGAGAAGCTTTCTATACAAAATTTTTTATTAATTCGAAACAAAATTTTTTATTAATTATTTATTGATGGTTACTGTGCCGGTCATTTAGTGTGCCGTTGTATCACATGAAATATTTTATATATTTTTTTTTAAATCCTAAATTTATTTTTTAAACCAATATAGTTATATGGACCACCAGGACCCCCAGGACCGCCAGGCCCAATTGGACATCCAGGATTACAAGGTGAAAGAGGTTTCGATGGAAGAAAAGGTGATAGGGTGAGTTTTGTTGTTTGATTCTTTTATTATTTTGAAATAGTTTTCGTACTGATTTTCTTAAACTATGTTCTGAAAATGTAGATTAAGAAAAGTTTTCCATTTTAGGCTTAAAGTTTAACATTGTAATCGACTTGATTAGTGAAAAACTAATTTTCAATTCACTTTTCTATGTTGGAATTGCTAATTGAATACTTCTTATAATTTTTTAAATGGAAAGAAATTTTTTAACTGCAGAAATTTATAAATCATAAAATGTGATTAGTTTGATAATTGTAACAAGTTTCTTCATAGCGTAAATTAACTCAGTTGTCTTTAATTTGTCATCATAAATAGTAAAATTTTTTTAGTAGAATCATATAACAAACGCTTATCTTATAAAGAATTCACTTGAAATATTGAATCACTTACAATATTCAAAAACGAAATAATGATAGCAATATTTTTTCCATAAAAATATTATTTTTAATATATTCGATAAAATGAATTTAATTGTAAAGTTTAATAATAAGGAAAGAATAGAAAAAGTACTCAAAAACTGACCCTCAGTCGACGAATGCAAATCAACACCATTCAATTCCAAATATTATTTAATACACAATTTCAACATGACGCAGCTATTCAACTCACATGACTAAAGCAGCTATTCAACACACAATGCAATGTTTAGAATAATTAGAATTAGAACAAGATTTTAGAATTAGAACAATTAAATATTAGAATTGTCAAAAATTTATTACAAATTTTTCAATTATTTGTGGTAATTTCCAAATCTCGTTTCTAAATCTTCCATTTTAAATTTATTTGTTTCTAAAGAGATTTCCCTTAAATTAAAAATGCACAATTCTCCTCGAATATTTTTTACTGTCTTTACAACCAGAACGGAAATAATTATAATTTTCGTTCCAAAAATTATTCTTCTCATACTTGCAATTTTCCTTCGATATTATTTAAATTTATTTTATGATATATCTAAATATTTGTATAAGTATATTATACAAACATACAGTAAAAATATAAAATTAAATCCCCAATTAAAATTCTATGTATGACAAAAACAAAAGCATCCTAAATTAAACTAGTGCAAAACTTAAACTAAAAGAAAGTGTAGAGAGAGAAACCCAAAATAAATTTTTCAAAATGTTGAAAAAACTCTCTGTGGAAAATATTCTGTGATATTTAATTTTTTTTTTAGTTTTCATATTTGAAATCAGCAGGATATCAAATCAGTAGATTTGTCTCTTGTTTTTAATTCTTTCTTTCACAAAAACAAGGATATTTGGTTCTGTTTATTTGTTATTTGCTTTCAATTGCTTTGTTTTTTGTTTTCTTCTTTTTTTTTGCTTATTATCCTCTTTTATTTTAAAAATAATTTTTATTATTTATCTTTCAAGTCACGTTTGTTGTTTTTTTTTTTTTTAAATTACTGATCAAATATTGTATGACTTTTCTAATTATTAGTTGATTCAGTTGAATTGGATTCCAATTCGGTAAAGACACGTAAAAATAGAAGAGATCTTCTTCTCTTTTTACGAAATGAAAATGAAAATTTATTTTTTAATTTTTTTTCTTCTTTAAATCAAAATAACACGGAATGCACATAAAAATGTCAACAGGGATGCATGTATCCTTAGACTGCAAAAATTATTTATTATTGTTCTATTATTTAGAATTAATTTCTGAAAGAATATTGCTATTAAAAAAAAATGTTTAAATAGCTAGGTCTTTTTTAATTGAAATTCAAAAAAAAACTTAATAACATTATTTATAATGTTACCGAACGAACTACATTTATAATTTTTAATTATTTTATAAATAAATCAAGTCAACAATTTGTTGAATTAATTCCGAAAGGATGCACTATTGCCTTTATTTGGCAGGAATACTGAATTTAATTGTTTATTATTAGAGATTTCATAAACAAATATTTGATTCGGAATAACTTCTTATTTAATCAAATTATAAGAAATATTCAAGATAACTATAGCTAGCTATTAATTTATCAAAAATTTGTATTTTTAATATTGAAATTTGAGAAAAATTGCATACTTTTAGGGGAATGTAACTGTAATATAATAGGGTAAACTCTCAACTCAATATTAACTTTTAATTATTCTTATGTTTATTGAAAATATAATTGTGTTTATGTAAAAAGTATTCAAAAAATTAGATGTACCCAACAGTTCCTTGTCACATCATATATTTGCGTGCTTTAATTTGAATCACATTTACGTAATATTTCTTAAATACCATAAGGTAATACTATATAAGATATTATTGTTCCAAACTACTTTACTTAAATCCATAAATCACTCTAAAGTTTAGATAAGCCATAACAATTACGAAAAAAAAAAGAAATTCTTCACTTGGTAATTATGGAGTTTGTTCTTGAGTTATCACCAAACTAGCTATTGTTGAGTACATAAGAGTATTTCAATATTTTATAGATTATTATATTCAACTCATTGGGTTGGATTACACTACACCAATCATATTCGGTGTTCGTGCATGAAAAATTAAAACTTCAAAACTTAAAAACTCAATTAATTTAATTTTGCCTTGGTGTAAAATCATAAGAGAGACAAAGTTTTGCAAATTTAAATCGCTATTCTGCTAAATTCTTAAAATGGGACTTAGAATGTTTGTGATCTGAAGCGACAAGTATTGTTTAAGAAAAATTATTACAAACAAGCCAACAATCTAAGAGATCAATTAAAGAAAATTTCTAAAATTTAATTATTCAACGCACTAATTCGGGATAATTTTTTCTTTTTTTAAAAAGAGGAAGTGAAAATTTGAATAAAATCATTTTCTTTCCAATTTCTATAAAAATTTTAAATTCTAAAATCTTATTATAATTTTAACACATCATGTCACATTTAATTATAACATATTATTATTATTTTTATTATTTTGACTTATTAGGGTGAAAAAGGCATTAAAGGTGATCAAGGACCTATGGGATTACCGGTAAGTTTTCCAAAAAATTTTACACAAAAAAAAAATATGATAATAAATGCAATTTTAGAATTTTTTATTTCATTTTTTCAATTTAATTTTTAATAAAAATTTATTCGTTCACATTTATTTTTATATATTTACACAAATTTCTAATATTTTTTACATAATATAAAAGTATCTTTAAATATAATACATACATATATAATTATATTTGACTATTATGTATAAAAAGCTATTCGAATATCTTTTTTAAAAATATTATTGATAATAATAATGAAATTTTATATTTTTTAATATTTTTTTTTTTGTTTGATTTTACTCTAGTATATCAGATAAGTTTTTTGATAAAATTTTTTTATATACAAATTTTTTATATTTTTCTTTTTTTCTCTCTCTTTCTCTTTTCATATTATTACTCTACTCCTTTTGTATTTTTGTATTTTTAAACGTTATTGGATATTTTTTGATAACAATTTGTAACACATTTGCACGTCACTATAATACCATCGCACAAAATATTGCATATCTCCAAACCCTTCCAAAAATATCTACACAAAAAAAATCAAATCAAATAAACAATGGTAATCTCTGATGTTATGTAAAAAAATTCAAATGAAAAAAAAAAAATACAAAAATATGAACAACTTATTACCCTGAATTCAGGGCCCAATTGGCGTACGAGGTGATTCTGGCCCAGTTGGTCCAGTTGGAAAACCAGGTCATCCGGTAAGTAAAATATTTTATTTTTTTATTTTTATTTTAATTTTTATATATTTTGTTAGGAATATATTTATTATTATTTTTTTTCTTCTGCTCTTAGTCAAAATTTACATATTTTTAAGGAAAATGTAAATACAGAGTGTCTCAAACATTTAATAGGCTGTATTTAACGAAAGTTGTTAAGGGAACTTTCGGGTCTTTCATAATTATTTAAGGAAAATATGATTCCTGTTTTAAGAATTTTCTCAATTTACGCAAATCGTGTCATTTATCGGTTAATTCTTATGTCAAATCTAATTAAAGTGTTTTATTGACTTATATCCTTTTTGTGAATTACGACAGAGTGACCGAATAAAAAATATAACCTTCTCTGAATTCCGAAAATTTTACAATATGAATTCAAAGTGAGTTCCGAACAGAATGTTCTTTCTGGAAAACTTTTTCTTGAAAAAGGAAAAACTTCGAACAATACCTTTCATTCTGCAAAATTTCGGAATAAAACCTACTCTTATATAAAGTCCAAAATAAAAAAATTTATAAATTAAAAAAAAACCTTTTTAGAATTTTCTTTTTAAAAAAAAAAATTCTCTCTGAAAATTAATTCCGAATTTTATTCGGAATGCAAGCGCATCTATTCTCCGGTGAAAAGGGGCTTTCATTGTAATGCTACCTAAAATTAAAAATAAGAACTAAACATGAAAGCACTTCTTGTACTATTGAAATTGGACGAATTGTAGAGAAAATCATATAAAGAAAGACTGCAAATAATTTACAAATAATTCCTAATTCGGATTTTCTTATTGAAATTATAAAATTTATCTTGATAATTAATTGGTATGCACAGAGCTGTTTTGACCTTCTGGAAATCGAGTTTATTTTTATTTCTTCGATTTAAAAATTGAATAAGTAAAGGGAGAATATTTTTACAATTTCAAATTCTCCATTAGGTTTGGGACACTCGATACACGTTTTTATATTATATTTATTACTTTTGATTTTTCTCTTCTTTTTATTTTAACAAAATCTACCTTTTTTTTATTATCCTTATTATTTTTATTGTTATATATTTGGTATATTATATATATACAATATTATAGCTTTATTTGTATAAGAGCTTAAGAATATCAAAAATTTCCATAGCACATTTTTTTCTTCTACTCTTTTTTTCTTTTAACACATAAAATATTTTTGAAATAAAATGTATGATGAGGGAGAAATTCATCGCTTTAAACTATTCAAATTACAGTATTAAATTTTTCCCCCGCATTTTTTTTTATCCTTTAATATATTCAGCCGCCTTTTTATGTATTCTAAAGACATCTATTTTATTATCTTTTTTTTTTCTATTTATTTTTGTTATTTTCTATTCAGAAAGGTAACACTTTTTATCGTTCTATTCGGGTCTTCTTTGTTGTTATTTTTTTTTTTGAGAGAATCGAAGAAATTATTTTTCTTTTCTTGTTTTTGTTATGAAAATATTTTGTATGTGGTGTGTTTGTTTAAAAGCAATAGAAATCAAGATGTAAAAATAAAAAAGTAATATAAAAAGAAATAAATTGTAAGGATTTTTGTCTAACAAATAAAAAAAAAAGGACTTCGTCTGATATAAATGATGTCCTTTTTAGTGATTTTTTATTTTATTCATTTGATTCTTACAATTTTCTCTCTCATTTTTAAATATGCTAACGGCAAGAATATAAAATAATTTATTTCTCTCAATTTAATATAACTGTGATTTTCTATTTTCAGTATTATTTTTTTTGTTGTTGTGTTTTTTCACTGTTTTATTGTTATTGTTGAAATTTAAATCTGGGATTTAAATTTAAATTGAGCAACAATTAATGGGCAATTTTAAGAGATTAATGTTAACATGGCAAATTAATACGAAAAATTGAAGAGAAAAAGAATTTAAAATTCAAAATATTATTCGGTATTACTGATCAATGAAAATAGATCAAGTAATGGTCATTTGAGTACATGATCAAGACGAGACATAGTCATAGAAGAATGATATCAAATATGATTCAAATAATAGGTAGAAAATGGTCAAAATTTTGGAATAATACTCGCTCCCCTTAAAAAAATTATTCATCAAAAATGCCTATAATTTTCCCGAAATTCAAAAATTTTTTTTAGATTAAAAATACTTTTATTTTTGCTAATATATTTCGTGCCCCACATAAGCACTTTATCAAAGCTAATTTTCTTCTTATTACGACAACAAACAATCCTATTGAAATTAGAAATATTATACCTGACTAGAGTTCAAATTTAATATAATAACCTGTTTTAATCCTTAATGATTAATTTAAAGAACCAATTAGCCGCGTTAACTTCGTCCGTGTGTTCAGTAAGCAGTTCTTGTTTGATTTGTGTATTTGGTAGCTTTTATGAACTTCTCTCTGTGTTTTCCTTTCACTCCTTTTAATTCCTTCAAAATGTCTTCCATAATTATGTGATTCGTTTCATAATAATATATTTTGCAACCATTGAATCGAAATTCCTGTCAATTCCTACTGTCCTTGCGCATTTTACCTCATTTAAATGTTCGTTAAGCCTTGTTGGAACAAGTCTTTTCATTTGGCCTTTGTAATTCATTTCGTTTCTCAAATATTCAATTTCTGTTTGAGCGTATTGCATTAAAAGGAATATCTGATATTATACAATTTCATACAATCAGATTGGATACTAATTTAGTTACGATTTCATACTAAATTTTCCTAGAAGACGAATTTTCAGAAATTTTATTTAATTCGTAATAATTTTAAAAACAAATAAAACCAAATCAAATTTGTAAAATTCTTTAAGACATTTGTGTATCTTCAATCATTCATACGAACATTTCATGTTCTCCAAGAGAACATTTCTATACTACCTCAACATAAATGCTTACTAGTCAATAACTAACGTACTCATATTGATGGAAAAGTTGTGTAAACAAATGCCTGCTGAAAACTAAAATGAAATTTTAATTAATTTCGTATATGCTCGCAAAATATTATTAAAGAGAACACAAAATGAAAATAAGTTCGGAAATGAAATGCAATAAAAGTAAAATAAAAAGTTTCCGTTCTGAAGCGTGTGAAGCGTAATCAAGAGCGATTATGGTGATAAATTTTAAATGTTGGAAAAAAATGTGGGATAATTGACAGAAAAAAGTATGAAAAAACGATTTTAAATCTTTAGTTGAACCTCTAGAACGTGTAAAAAAAATTTTATTCTTGTTTTTTTTCTCCTATTTTCTTGTTTTTATATATGGTGAAAAAAATAAATTTTTTTAATGTTTTTATTTAAGGAATTAAATTTAATTTAATCAAATTATATACAAAATGTACAAATGAAAATAAATTACATATCAGAAATCAAGAAGGACGGGAAATTAGAAAATACACAAGTCTACAATGTTTTGATTTAGAAGATAAAATAGCCCTCCTATTGTGAATTTAAAATTATATTTTACATTGGAAATATAGCGAATTCGAGAGAAATTATTATGCAAACAAATGTGAAGGATCAAAGAATTTAGGAAATTGAATTGAGTTTTCAATAATAAAAGTTAATGAATGTTGAAGGCGGTTTAAAAATATTCATTCAATTTCATCAACAATTTTCAAGATTTTCCAAGCTCACACTATCACAAAATAGTTTTGAAATATTTTTGGAAAATTTGAGAACTAATTAAAAATGAAGTTTTAGAATTTAAACTGATATTTTTATTCCACAATATTTCTTTCTTGATTTAGAAATTCTATTGACAATTGCACCTTCGCGAACGGTATAATATTGATTTTGGTATGGAATTTGCAAGCACTCGAAGAAGTCATCTGCGGTATGAACATGTGTATATGTATATATATATATCTTGCCAAACATAAACTTCTGTGTTGATTTAGAAATGTCCGCCCGTCCATTCGATCGCACAGTAACCAACAAAAATTACCATTGAAATTCAAATTTCTCAAATTAAATCAGATTTTCTTAAATTTAAAATGCGAATAATATTAATTCTTATACCAAATTATGTTGATTCTATGATAATATTGCTACTGAAGCAGTTTTCTTTTATTTTCTCTACAGATTGAACCTGTAGAATGACGTAATTTCTCGTGGCAGAAAGGTGTTTCGACTTAAAGGGCTATAACTTTCTTAATTACTGTTCGATTTAAAAAAAAATTAATATGCAAAAGGAAAGATGAAAAGTAGCTCTTTATTTAAAACAGTGTGATATATGAAAAAGAATAAAAAAAATCTCAAGTTTTGCACAAAGTGACCAATATTACTAAAACATGTACCCTATTAATTTTTTTTTCTTTTTCATAATTTAAAAGATTTTGAGTTTTCTTCAAGTTATCTACCTCTTTATAATTTTTTTTGCTGTGCGGTGCTCCGTTTTCGAAATAATTCGGTTGTAAACTGGACGGTTAGATTATGTAATTTTTATTGGTTCACCCTCTTATATATAATGCATAAGTCCATAATATAAATACTCAATACAAACATAATATTCATAATATTCCTTTACTAATAACAATAATATCTTTAACTTTTGTAAAAATTCATATTTTGACGTTTAATATTGACGTTTCATTCAACAAAAAATTTTTTTCCCTTTTACAACATGCAAGAATTTTCTATTTCTCTCTTTGTTTTCGTTCCGCCTTATAAACCTAATTATTCGCTTAAATCTTTTTTATTTCAACATGCTTTTTTGTTCTAAAAACAAAAGTTTGATAAATTGCTATTTTATAAGTTTTATACTCTATATTTCTTAATTGCTCTTTATTTCATGAAAATTTAATTAAATTCTCAAATGAGATAATTTTTAGAATAATGCTATTATACAAATAGCTATATAAACTTCACCACACTATTATGAAGCTTTTGAACTCAGTCATACATAATGTATAATTACGAATGTGTAAAGCGTCATAATTATTTGATTAATTGGTAAACTTTATGTGAATTAATTAAAATCTCTATTTTCTTTTTAGAATATATGAACATAG